ACACCTTTTCTTTCTCTACGGCATTGGACTGTTGGGTACGTCACTTGTTTACCGAATGGTTCTTGGACTTTACTTTCCTTTTAGAAAAGTGTTCTTAGGTCAATGAAGAAAAATTTCTTCAATGACAAATAGATCTTATTTGAAAAACCCAGTAAAAAAGGTTTTTTTTTGTTGTTCCATGATTCAAACCGAGTACCTCTGGCACTGAAAATAAATGTCTAACATTAAGATGCCAACGTACAACGGGTACTGCACAAAGTCCCATAATAAAATGTTGTACAGTCTCTTTCTCCATTGTTGAAGGATACTTTTATGGAGGTGTGAGGGTAGTCTTTCCCTTTGTTTAAATAGCAAAATAGCTTTTTATAGAATTTACTATTTGATTCTATATATATAAAGGAAAAGGGAGATGTTCTGCGACTGACTGTTCAACCCCGATGAACAGCTTACTTTCATGAGAATGTCCCAGCTTGCTGAACTGTTGGAATCATGAAATGATTTAGAAGCAGAAGGAACTGGCCTTGGATCTTTATATCGGTAAGATGTTTTGATTGTTATTCAGAGTGCAAACAGAAATAAACTTTAATAGAATATTCAAAATGAAAACTTCTTGATATTGCTTTGGAAGCTGAAAAGGTTGGTTCTCAATAGCTACATATTTACAGTGGAAGGCAAAACGATCGGGCACATGATCTTTCTAGTTGATATATGCGACATCATCTACACCGCTACTTTATCTGCTGGAGGTGTGGTTGAATCTCTGGCGACTTCAGAGGAGGATTCAAAACTGAAACTTTGGCTTAGAAAGCAAGACATACGCTCCATCCTGTTGTTATGCCGTTACTGCACAAGATTTGATGAGAACTTTGATGTAGTGATAACATTTACTTGAAGTTGTATCAGCATGACTAGTTAGCATTTGACATTTTAATGAAAATAATGAGTAACTCTAGATTACAAAACTACATAATTGTATCCTTCTGTTCATTAATGTTGGTTTTATTCATTTAAATTCTTTTCAATTATTAAAAATTAGTTCCAATAGAAAGGCAAATTCTGTGAACTTTAACAGTGAAACTAGCCACATATGACAAGCCAAATCACTCTCTTTAATGTGTAAGCATACAAAATAGCATGAGTTATGGTTTTGTTTTCTTTTTATTGATATACATGCAAACATTTTTCGGTGCTAATCAATGTATCGATAAATGAAAAGCTGAAATTTTCTTTGACAAAAGACTGATCTTAAGGCTTTTCTCCAAACCAAGATAGCTGTTTTGATTAGATAGCAAATAAATGTACAATGGTTGATTTTTGAAATTATTAAACCAGACTCTGACTTCTGATGGTCCTTTGATTTATAATTGTATTTAAAACCTGTTTCATTCCAAAAAAAAGTAGAAGGTTCTTTCAGTGACGTACCTGGTTCACCACAGCAGATTCAGAGGGTTTGGGGGGCAAAACACCCATTAAAAAAAAAAAATTATATGCGTTAGTTTGCTTTGTTTAAAGGGACATGTCTTGTCTGCTTTCCTGTTTCTTCTGCTGGTTACATGTACAGGTATTTATTAACTCCAAAGACACCTCCATTTTGGGCACCCCCTCACTTTCATTAATGATGAGCTGGTTCCACCACTGCATTATAAACCTTCAAAATAATTGCATTGTTGTAAGCTGCCAAATAAGTTAGATTACAGTGAAATATTTTTGGAAGAGGGACTGTGGTGATGTCTTCCAGATGACCAGATGAGAAAACAAAGTGTCATGTTCTGTGTGACCCAACTGCCAATGTACATAAAAGATATTTTTTAACTCTAAAATTTCCTGGGTCAGATTGACCCAGAATCTGAATCCAAATTTGCTCAGTCCTTTTCTGGGTAAAAAAAAATACACATTTCAGTCAAAATGACCGAGAAACATGTCTTTTTTTTTTACTCCAACATGTCCAAAGGGGTCATTAATGACTACAAAAGGGGTCAATTTTTGACCCGGAAAAGGATTGAGCAGACTGAGTCCGACCCAGGAGACTCAACCTCTTCGGGAAGGTCCAGCGACTCAGCCCCTTTAGGCAGGTCCTGCGACTCAAACCCTTTAGGAAGGTCCTGCGACTCAGCCCCTTCGGGATGGTCCAGCGACTCAGCCTCTTCCGGATGGTCCAGCGACTCAGCCCCCTCGGGATGGTCCAGCGACTCAGCCCTTCCAGGCCGTGCACGTTTCCAGGGATCTGGTGGTTTCCCCTTGTATGGTTTCAATCTGTCACAGTGGATGACTTCAGTTTTTCCTCCACGCCGCTTTTGAATCCGGAACGTTACATCTGAAAGTTTGTCTTGAATCAGATATGGGCCTTCCCACCGACATTGTAGTTTGGGCGAGATTCCCTTCTTCTTTGCTGGGTTATACTTCCAGGCAAACTGGCCTGGCAAGTACACCTCCTTGCACGTCCTCTTGTTGTAATTCAGTTTCTGTCTAGCGCTTTTTCCAAGCTGTTCTCGAGCTCTGTCATGTGACGCTTGGATCCTCTGCCTTATTTCCATCGGATAGTCTAGGTCTGCTCCATCACTCGCCTCCTCGGGGTTGAATACCCGAATCGGTAACCCGTCCTCCTGAGGTTTCACTAAAAGTCTCGCTACCATGAGTCCCTTGGCTGCAAGTTCACTCCCTTCGGCTGGTTCCATCAGACCCAATCCAGAGAATCCTGCGACCACTCTGCCGGTAACCAGGGCTTCATGCCCTCCAGGAACCGTGGTCGTTTCCTGCACGATGACTCTAGCACACAGATTTGCTCCTCCTTTGTCCATACAGCGGACCCTTTCCCCGTTCAGGTCCAGCACGGAATTTCCAAAATCCAATTTCCCGTGCGTGGTTCTAAGAAAATCAATTCTTATTATCCCTTCCACAGCAACGTCAGCAAATATTGCATGTACAGGGCAGGTTGTCCTACCCACCCGAATGTCAAGCCAGGCACTCCCAACAGCGTTAACGGGGCTTCCATCTACGCTATATAGTTTCCCTCCGTCCGTTGTGAGTACCGGCCGTGCCTGGGGTTCCATCTTGTTATACAAGGCTGTCGACAAGACAGTATCAGTTGCCCCTGTATCAATCAAAAGATGAGCCTGCAGTCCCCTGACAACCGCAGACACGAACAAACCCCCCATTTGTCTGAATGATCCAATAATTGCTCCCTTTGTTTCTCGCTGCTCGCTTACAAAGGCTTTTGTTTGTCCTCCACCATCACTTCCTTCGTTGCTTGGCCCTGGCTCTCTGGCAGCCTCCCCATGGGCCACTGGGATGGCTGAGCTCCGTTTCCCTGCAGTGACTTTCTCCTCTCATTAGGCTCAGGACAGGCCCTGGCGAAATGTCCCTTGCGTTTACAATTGTAACACGTATCCTCTGCACCTGCCTTGCGACGGCTATATTTGGCTTCCTTGGCTTGCCTTGCGCCCAAGTCCTTTTGGAATGGAATTTCCTTCGTCACGGCCCTTTCCTGTAAAAGGGAGTGGATACTCCTAATAGCCTGGCTCATTTCCTCCCGATTCTCCCGAATCTCCCTCTTCAGGCTCTCCATTGTCGAATTCCTTTCCGTTTCTATCACTCTGGCGTACTTCCTTGCTTTGTCTCCGGCCCTTCTTTCTTCTGTCCTTAGGAAGCTCTCAGTCGCCAAGGCGGCTTTGATCGAATTGTCCAGCGTATCAGGCATCGACCTGAATATCCCTTCTCTGATAGCTCGGTCGGTGATCGCGTCCATAAAGTGTCCTTTGGCAAGGCGCTCCTTGCTTTCATCCGAAAATTCTGGGTATGCCAGTGCTGCCAATTCCCTTATGCTCTGCCCAAGTTCCTGAAGACTTTCTTTTTCCCCTTGCCTACGATGGCGCAATTCCATTAGGTGAAAATCAGCCTGCTGGCCAGGTCAAAATCTCTGGTCTAGTCGACTAAAGAGCTCCTTGAGTGAGGGCTCCTTACCTCCTGATTGGCACCCGAGTACCTTCAGGGCAGGACCCTGAAGACTCGCGGCCAGGAATACAGCTGCCTGTTTGTCGTCCCAGCCATTGGCTTTACGACATGCCTTGAAATGCTCCTTATAGTCCTTCCATGGGACCTTTCCAGTAAACCTATCAGGGCAGATGTTGGGTTTCTTAAGCACGCCTTCCTTTGGTGTTACTGTTTCCTTATCCAGGGGTGGCGACTTGCCCTCATCCTTCTCCTTTGCTGGTTGAACTGTTTTGGCTGCAACCTCTTTCTCCTTTCCTGTTGTCGACACAACTGTGTTGGCAGGAGTCCGTAACCCCGTCCCAGGAGTTGTCCTGAAGGTGCTGGAGACTGCAGGGCTTGGTGTATCGAAAAACAACTCTGGGGTGTCCATCCCTGTCATCCCTTCGGGACTCTGTTTTCTTCCTCTTTCCTCTAGTAAAGATCGCATGCTGATGAGCTCCTTTTCGAGAATCTTCTTGTCCTCAAGTGCGTCCCTCAACATGGTCTCCCCTCTGCCTGCCTCGATTCGAAGGATAGCTATTTCCTCCTCCAATAGCCCAACGTCCTTAACATCCATATTTTAAGTTCAGTCTTCCTTATGTGGAAAGTAAATCTATCGTAGGGTTGGTTAAAGGAAACCAATGAGAATAATTTGTTACGCCTTATCCCGCTTCTGACACCAATGTGGCGGATCTCGATTTTCTCGAGAAGTGACGGTCTCGAGAACCCTCCAGACAAGCGGCAGTCCAGATGGTCCTAGGGCGATAATCTGTCGCCGCACGTAACTAATTTTCCCTTATATTGTTCGAACGATACATCTACCCAACCAGACAATAAGTGGGACCCAGAACCACAAGCTAAAGCTTTAAGAAGTCTCTTTATTCAGCCATGCAACAACTGCAATTCCTTTACTAAAAATGCCTCAGCAAAAGGCAAGTACTTAAAAAGATGGGGGTTTCCTTAAGGGGAAGGGTTTCCTTAAGGGAAAGGATTTCCTAAAGGGAAAGGGAGTTTCTCAAGGAAGGGGGTTCCTAGGCTCCAGACGACCCTCCGAGGTCTCCCGAAGGCAGATGCCGATCCTCCTGATGAGCTCGACCCTTCGTCTCCCGCGAGGCAGTTGTCATTCCGGATACCTTAGAAATGGGTTCCTCAAGAAAGGGGGTTTCCTTAAGGGAAGGGATTCCCTTAAGGGAAATGGAGTTTCTCAAGAAAGGGGGTTTCCTAGGCTCCAGACGACCCTCCGAGGTCTCCCGAAGGCAGATGCCGATCCTCCTGATGAGCTCGATCCTTCGTCTTCCGCGAGGCAGTTGTCGATCCCGATACGTTAGGAAATGGGCTCCCAAGGGAAAGGGTTTACTTAAGGGAAGGGGTTTCCGTAAGGGAAAGGAGGTTTTTTAAGGGAATGGATTTACTTTAGGGAAAGGGTTTCCGTAAGGGAAAATAAGTTTCTTAAAGGGAATTGGTTTCCTTAAGGGAACGGATTTCTCTAAGGGAAAGAGACTTTCTTATCGATAGTCAACAATAAAAGTGCTTCACAAAGATCTGCCAAGTATGTCTACGAAAGCAAATGGAGAATTCCTGCACAGAGGTGACAATAATAAACCCAAATATGCTGTCTTCAATCGAACGAGTATTAAGCTTCAATTAATCAAGTAAACCCAAGGATCAATTCCACAATTGCACCACTACTTATAAAAGAAAAGGAGTGTGTAACATTAACAATACAGCAGCTCAACACTCACGGTAAGATTTGCGGTCACTGCCCGACACAACACTCTGTCTGTCCCCACGATGCTTTTCTTAGTCTGCCACTCTACGGCGCGCCAAAACAGTCTGGCCAGAATGCGCGCGAACGCTGCCTTATATACCCCATTCTAAAAAAATAGCGCACAAGCTATGGCGGGCAACCGAAACATATAAAAAGTATGGAGCGCCGATTACATTTCGTTACACTACATAACAATTACTTTTAATAAGCCTGGCCCCATACTTCATGGGCCAAATAGTGTACATTGAAAGAAAAATTATAATTTCATGTCTTCCTTTATTGACATATGTCCTCATTGTGCATTTACACCTGGCCATACTGTTACAAGCACAAAATGCACCTCGTTTTATTGTCCTTGACTTTTTTAAATCACTTGCTTTTGACCAGTTCATGCAAGATACCCCCCCTCCCAGGTATTCATGAGTAATTAAATTGTCAGTATGCTAGCAGGCTGGCTGGAACCTGACCTTGACAGTGGAAACATAAATACAGTAACTACATGTAGTTCATTGACAGTAATCCCATGTAGTTCATTGTGCCTCCGTGGCATGATTTTGAAGCCTCCCTTCCCAAACCCCAAGTTATTTCAGTTAATTAATGTCGCATGCCTGTGTGTCTTTTAAAATTCGAACACGGGTGTTGGATGTTTTTTTGGATGGTCCTTTCCATAAGATAGATGTCATGTGAGATCCTTTTTTTTTGGCACACATGAATAGTTATTAGACATCATCCTGTACCCTCTTCACTTGCTTGTTGTGTGGGATTCGTGTTATTAAGTGTTTGAATAATTTGTATAACATTTTTTTTGCACAGGGCCAATGAAGAAGCCGATGTTCGCAGCTTGCTGCAAAACTCTTCTAGCCTGCCAGTCCTGCCTGACCCAGTAGTATGCCAACAGCAACCACTGCCCTAAGTGCCGAGGGGACACTGGGGAGCATGACAGCTTGTTGGTGACAGGGCTGGATGACGTTCTGAAAGTTATTGCCAACATGATACATGTAACTGAGTAACAATTTGATACTAACTGTTAGAATTGTTACTCAGTTACATGTATCATGTTGAGTAAGTAGACTAGTTTGCATACCTGTATTAAAGGGCATCCCTTTTCATTTCTATGGTTCTAATTTCTAACCAACCAAGTTTTTAGCTCCCAATTTAAGACAAAAGATTATTGCAACCATATGCCTCTTGTCACTCTTTAAATATATCATCTCATTAAAGGTCAGTTCTTGCAAATAGGTTATACATGAACCTTGGACCGAGAAACTTTGCCATAATTGTAATGAAATACTTTGAGATTGTTAATGACTCTCATTACATTTTGTGCACAACCACAAAGCGGTGTCAGGATACTACATTTTACATTTGTAAGATGTTGATTGGTCCTCACCACCCTATTGCACCCTTGGGAATGAGTGCTGCATGCTCTATCAGGGGCAATGTGAATTCATCTTGTGAAGTTACAAGTAAAGTAATAAACAATTCAGTGAAAACAGAAAACTACCAAATTATTATGAAAAACCGTACTGGACTGTGAATGGCAGTTTAAAGCGTCCAGTAAAAGATTGGTACTTAGTGTGCAGTATTTTTTGCCGAAAAGTTGTCTTTCAGTATCAATTCCAATGCTGGTTGGCTGGCCTTTTTCAAATACTGCCTACAATTGAACGACGACGCTGAAACAGTCACTAAGCTGCATGTATTTGAGGTTACCAAAGATCTAAAGTTTGTTCATTTTATTTATCACACTGGAAGTTGCCAAAGAGTTATCAGAACCACACATTCTTATAATATTCCAAAATTGTTATTAAAAAATGTTAAACAGTCATTTTATTCACCCTTTTCTGCATTTAACATGTCCTTTTTATAACCCTTCTTTTTTTTTGGGGGGGGGGGGCAACCCAGATAAACCAAACTCATGAGAACCATAGAATTAAAGGGAATATACAACATTTGCAAACATACAAAATAGCAAGATAATATGAAATACCTTACTGGACTGTTTATTGTCAAGCAAATTACAATCTAAAACATCCAGTAAAGCCATGACACCTGGTGTGTTGATATTTTTCAGAAAAGTGTAATTTTTGTATTTATTTCCAACACTGGTCGACCAGTTACACACATATGCTTACACACCTATGTATGGGTACAAGTCATCTAGACTGGTTCCTTGAAATTGAAATTTTCGACATCTCTAAATTGTCCTGTTTCATTATAGTGGGGTTAGGGAACCAGACTAAATGAAAATTATTGTTTTTCTTTGTTTTTCTAGCATCTCTGAACACAAAACTTGAAGTAAATCTGTGAAAAAAATTAATTCAGGAAGAAAACTAACCCCAAATCAATTACTTGCAGAAAGTTAAAGCAAAAGCAAATTTTGTATATTCCCTTTAAAAGGGGATGCCCTAATCTTAATAAAGCAAGCATCTCAGACAAAGTACAAAACCCATTAAATAACTACAAAACCCATATTCACAGACAAAAATCTTTTTGTAAGGCATTGCCAGGGGAGAGCATGGAGTTAGCTGTCTCTATATATAACTGCCAACACTTGAGGAATAACTTTTTAAGGCAATTGTTTAAAACAAATTATTGGTTGCAGGAATTTAATGGGTTTTGTAGTTTGCATGGGAGGCCTACTGTACCATATGATTGTGTGCTTGGCAAGTTTTCAACACTATGTTTCAGGCCAGTTGGAGTCTGAATGCTGATAAATTGGAAATTCAACACTTATGGGGCCAAAGTATGACATTTGAGAAGACCTTTTTAGTTTTAATAATAAAAATAGGATCTTGGTGTCTTTCTCAATTTTTGTCGAAACATTGCATGCTTTGAACAAATATCCACACCTGCAACGAATAACTGTTTTTTGTGTTTTTGTTTTTTTAAGTACCTGGTACAGTGGATATTGTTTTTAAAAGTGGTACGTATGTAACACGGATAGACATTGTAGATAAAGTCCCAGAGTAAGCAAAACATTTAATGATCCCTAATGTCTGATTTCAGAAGATGTACCCTGCAGGAATGACATCAGTCAAAACATTGAAAACTCAGAGTCAATATGAAGACTTGTTAGATGATTTAGAACTATGAACAGACTGGACACTTGTCACAAAGTGTCTGTCCCTGTTCATAAGTAACTCTGATTAAATCATAACTTTTCAGCAAGTGTAAAACCTGTTATATTTTTGCCTGCCACCAATTTAAATGGGTTAATGTTGATAATGTCAAATGATAGTGCCTAAACTGAATTTTATTGTCCTAAGCACACTTTTCCTTGCAGTGTGTCTGACCATATTACTTACACTTGTATAACATAAAAAATACCTGGTTTTTTTTCTCAAATACAGATATCATCTCTTGTATTTTCTTATTCTCATCACTTTCAACTTAGCAAGTTTCATGTATAGGAGAAAAATAAAGAAAACACTAGCTCATTTCAGTGTTACCCATTATGCGCAACATCCATAAACCTATGTCATTGGCCCATCAAAGTGTGGAGTGCCCAATTATATTACTCTCACCAGATCCAGACTCCATCCGTGTGTGATTTTGTATTTTGAAACAGTATCAATCTGCTTAAAAAGAAAAGCACCGTAGACAAAATACTTCTTATAGGGAAGATTAACAATGTATCATTAGGTTTAAACCAAATAAGTTCTATAGTCAAATGAAACTAGTCTCTTTGTTTCTGTTGTTTAATTAGCAATAGTACATTGTCCCTTCATTTCTTCACGAATGGATGTTTTTGTGTACGTTTCCCCATTTTAACGTATTCAATGGCAATGCTAAAACAATGAGCATTTCAAAGAAAAGTGTAACAAATGTGAGGTTTGCTAGAGAAGTACGTATAGTGCATGTGCTTCTTAAAAATTCGATAAATCCTTCCAGAAATGCTGTCATATGCAAAGATGACGCATGGGGTAAAACCAAACTGAAGTGAAGGGACAATATGAGTGTTCTAAGGATGTAGCTAGCTAGGTTGCACTATTAGTTATAGAAGCATAATGTTCTCCTTGTTCAAATAATATATTGTCATAATAATTTGTCCAGGCAGCTCATTTTCTGATATAAACTGAGTTACAAATGTCAACGGGGGTTGTAACTTGGGTAAGGGGGTTTCCCTTGAAAGCATGCAAGTTGGGATTGGTTTGGGGGTAAAACGTTTAAAGTCACCATGGTTAGTGGTTTCCAGTGAATAACGAGTCAGAAATGAAATTTGTGTTTGTAACTTCCATAGGGGGGTTGACTTTGGGCGAGGCAAGTTCGGAGTGGTTTAGGGGTCAAAGGTCAAGGTGACGGTGTTTTAAAGGTGAATGTTTTCTGAATGACTACGGCTGAGAGGTTTAAACAGCATCACTGCTATTTTTGCTTGAACTGGTGCAAAGTGTGCCACTTTCCAAGACCAACTCGCAATTGATTTCAGTCAGAGTACATGTACATGTATGTTTATGACTTTTAATAGAATGTTCCTTAACTTTTCCAAATATATAACCGTTTTTAGGATGTATTGCCTTTGAAAACTACAAGTTGACTTAAAGAAATAAATAAAACTCAGTATTTCAAGACAGCTAGCTTGGCATTAAAGTGAAAATTAAGATTTGATCTTTGAATAATTTATCAAATGTTCATTTCACTGTCAACACAGTTTTCGTTTTGTAAGTTCAATATCAAAGTTATTTTGTTAAAAGTAGAATAGAATAAAGCTTATTACAGATGTTCACAAAACATGAAACTCAGTGTGTGCTTTTCGTTTAAACATGTTAAACAGTGTGTTACAACTGATGATGTAGTAACCAATATATAGTGTATCACTATAACCGATAACATATCACAAATGGACTGAGACTGCAGTAAATGTACCCCACTTTCAATTTTGCTACATTAATGTAACAAGTCAATGACCATAGGCGTAGCTAGTGAGGGGTAAGGGGGTATCCCCCCCCCCTCTCCGATATTTTGCAACCGCTGCCCTTGTCCAATCACACGCCTTTTTCTTCACAAGACTTTTAAACTCCTCCCCATAAGTTTCACATATAATCACATATACCAAGAGAATTTTTGGGTTCAACGAGTGAAGCATTTGCACTTTTCCCCCTAAAACAAGTGTCATTTTTGCAAGCAGTGGCTGAAACAAATGTCTTTTTTTTAATTTAGAAAGTGCCACACTGCGAAATGCCCTCTGTTTTACGATAGAGTGTATGATCATACAGTCTGAACGCACTCCCGATCCCCCTCCCCCACAGTTTATTCACAAAGGCCAGATGTCTGGAGAACAAAAAATCCCCGTGTATTTTTGACGGATGTGTGAGTGCCCGTTTTAGATATTTTTACCCCCCCCCCCATTAAAAATTACCTTGCTACAACTTTGCTGACGGGGTTATATGTTACTCATCAGTCAATTTTTTATTACATTACAATTTGGTGACACAGTATCGGTCAATTTGGGCGACATTATCGGTTGATTCTGTTCGTTATACATCATCGGTTGTTACACTGTGTGCAGGAATGTCTTTTAGTGTACAACCATTGCAGTCACGTCATCCAGGTTATTTTTGGTTGGAACAGCTTCTTATTTTATTTATAAATATGAAGATGGCCTATTGCAGAATCTCAATTATAAACAAAGCAAAGACAAAAAAAGTCCCCAGTCATTGGAGGGGTCATTGTTTCGTCAATTGGGGGGATTCACAATAGTGCACCTTGAAGAGTTTGCCCAGGGAGAGTCCATTTTTCAAGTTTACAGTCAACAAAACATGTCCCAATTTGAATGTGTGTCAGCTTGAGGCAATTTGTTATAGATTGGGGCATAGCGTTCTGCTGCCTTACCCAAAAGCACCAGATTGATGAAGCAAGAAAAAAAGGGGGCAAACATATACTGGAAAAACCAACTATTTAAGATGTGCCGCGCCGTGAATTTGTTGACCATCTTCCACAATTATGCTCTAGGAAAATTGAACTCTCCATGGCAAACTGTTGATGGCGCACTGCATTGTGAACTGCCCAAATTGCAGAAACAGCCCGTTATCTTTCTTTCATTCATTCTGCCCATTGGGGCCATCCATAAAGAATGTACGCACGAAATGACAATTTTTTTAATACCCCCCTCCCTCCTGTTTGCACGGCATACATGTATGCAGGGTCCCCCCCCCCCCATGTACGTATATGCATTCCGATCAGATTTGCAATTTACTGTACATGTACATTCAAAAGAGACAGCACAACATGCTCCCACGCGTAAGCTCAGCGCTTTTGATATTTCCTGCAACGACATTTGTTTCGAGCACATGTGTGACATTGTCAAGCAGCAATTTCTACTTGACTCTCTTACTCATGAAATTTGCAACTCTGCAACCATTTTTTATAAATACTGGTAGTGTTCAACAATTTATAGTCTTGGGTAACAAACAGGGTAAAAAATTGTACATGTAGATAAACAAACAAATGAAGTAATTCTAAGGAGATCAGATTTCACATTGTGACCCTGCCAATGAGTGTGGATGTTTGTGCAGGGTTATTTCACTTCCAAGACATTCGTTTGCTTTTATAGGAGTTGCCTTTATATCACGCTACATGTCTTCGAGTGATGTCTATTAATTTCAATACAGCATCCTGCAGGGTTTGTGAAGTCTTGATTTACCGCTCGGTCGATCAAATGGTGCAGGTCAGGGAGTTCTCTTTGCACTTCCAACTGGCAGCCATTCATTTCCTCTTCCGTTGAGAATGGGTCCTGTCCAAAGTTAGCGCAGGATGTGAGGGTTGAACCCAGGTCTCTGGAATACCAGTCTGCTGTTACATGTGCGGGTGGGAAATGCTCTTCTGTGACATGTGCTGTCATGCAATGCTGTGCCAGTCGATTGGCTATGCCTCTACCAAAAGTAATAGAACAGACATTATTATTTTTAATAGTATTATGAAACATCTGGCAGCATATACATTGTACAGACTGAATACTTTATAGGATAATTGGAAGATGCCGACCACTGGTTTCTTTTTTTTAAATGACCAAATGTAATACCACCTGTGCATGAACATGACACAGCAACAAATAGCCAATAATAAAGCATCACCCTACCAAACCCAACCCTGCAAAAAGAATAAAACTGCATGACCAATAGAACAATGTTTTGGAAAATTAGCGCGCAAAAAAAATTATATATCAATGTAGGGAGTTGTAGTCCAAAACTTTGGCAAGTAATTGGCATGTTTTCATAAAACACTTTGATTTGCATAGTGAGACCTTTGTGCTTCTTGCATAAAGGCAACTTGTAAAAAATTGTCTCCTGTGGGCTTCGAACAGAGAAGACCAACATATAATTGTCTCTAAATATTCTCTTGTTTTTGAAGGGAGCGTGGCTCCTGAGGTATATCACTGTGGGAGGGTGAACTCTTATAAACTTCCCAGTGAGTATTGCTCGCTTACATAATCGTTTTGTAAGAGAAATTGTGTTGCTTTTGTGACCTTGAGATATGAGAAATGTTTTGTTGCATTGTACTATAGTGTGTAGCTTATAATGTACACAGCCATCCAGCAATGCGTTGAATCTTGACACACATTATATTGACTGTTATTGCTCTGTTGTGCATACTTAAAGTGTTGTAGGAATACATTTATTTCATTTCAGGAGATCACAGTCGTCATATAATAGTTAAGTTATATTTTTGTTAGCCTTGGTCAATGCTCTCGTCGTTATTCGTCCCGTACGCGGTCAATCGCCGGCGCGGCATACACGTATATCCTCACCCGCTATGCACTTGCATGTAAAATTACAGCGCGAACAGCGACCTCATGCGGCCACTATTTTTTTAAGCAAATCAGTTGAGGATGATCTCGAGCCTTGGTTCAATCGTCGGCAAAAGCTTATGTTTTTCTTTATTTTGTGCTGGATTTCTAGCGCACGACCTCGTATGCGAATACAGAGAAATGTAGGCGGGGCTAATATGTGGAGTTTCCAATCACACCTTGGTAAATCCGGACGTCATCAAATTATTTGCAACTATTCGCCTTTTGCGGACGTGACAGGAACCACAATTTGTGTGCATTGGTGCCGTGTGCAGAGACACACAACGTGTACATTGTACCTGTATGCATTATGTACGGTGCCACGTTTCACTATGCAAGTTTCCACGCAACGATCGACCAATAAGAAAACGACATTTAAGGTCAGCTAAGGCTATTAACATAATGAGCACCACCCCCAAAACCTCACATGGACGATTGAACCAAGGCTCGAGATCGTCCTCAACTGATTTGCATAAAAAAGAGTGGCCGCATGAGGTCGCTGTTTGCGCTGTATTTTTACATGCATGTGCAAAGTGCGTGAGGATATGTGCCGACGATTGACCGCGTACGGAACGAATAACGACGAGAGCATTGACCAAGGCTATATTTTTGTTTGAAAGAACTTGTCCGCTTTAATTACAGGACCGTTCCTCCTTCCTTCCTTTTTAATTGACATTGGCACTCTCTAGTACATAAAATGCAACGAATCCTGTCTGTCCCACAATCACGAAATACCACAATTTCTCTCATAAAACGATTATATAACAGAATAATACTCACTGGGAAGTTTCTATGAGATAACCCTCCCACAGTGATAATATATACAGGCGCCATGCACACTACAAATACATTGTACGAGAGAAGTTTCAGAGACAATTATATGTGGGTGTTCTCCCATTGCTCGAAGCCTACAGAAGAAAAATTGTTACAATTGCCTTTGCGCACTATGCAAATCGAAGTGTTGCATGAAAATGTGCAAATCACCTTGCCAAACTTTTGGACGTATACAACTGTGATGGCGAACTTTTCTCCCTACATCAATAATATTTCTGTATCAACTGTAACTGACCATAACCCCCCCCCCCCCCAATTCACTAGGGATGGAGTACCAATAGTGCACGTTGGGTAATATGTCTGTTAATTGTTTTGATCAAGGTTCATTTTAATACTGAAAGCAATCCATTACTGAAATAGAAAGGTAGAAACTGAACGTGTAACAAAAAGCCACTATGTAATTTGCAAACCTGGTATACGATGAGCATTCCAAGAGGTTACTTCCCTGTCCACACCAACTTCACATAGTTGTAGGCAGAGGGTGGACACACAAAACTTCACCAGGGAATCATCGATGTCCAACTTTTCTGCGTCGGTTAACTCCACTGGGGCGCCTTTGATGGGATAGTTTACTCTCTGATTGACTTCCGGCCACATGCGCTCAATCTTATGATTCTGCAAATAACACAACCAATACAATGTTTACTTGTATCTGTATATTAATAAACTATGCTTTGTTAAAGATCCCAACCTGTCAAGCATGGGGGGGAAGAACCTTTGAAACCAGTAGCTACATGTCATGCATGTAGGTTGACTTTAATTAACAATTTCTGCACAAAGGGTTCGAAAGTACAAAACGATTGTCCACTGGTAGGTAGTTTTGAAATGGCCATTCTTAAGATGCTGTAGGTCGGATAGGGGTCAAGGGCCAAAGTCAAATGTCAGTTTATAACTTAAGTGTTGATACTGACCCCCTGATACCATAAATGCTACTTAAGAATGGAAAAAAAGTAGGATAAACAGTTACTTCAGAATGATTTAAAGATAATCCCTAAACAATGTCTTTCTCGAGGTGAGACAATATTGTTTACAGAAGTTGACATTGGACACCACAAGGTACATACATGTACACACATTTCCTGCCATTTTCATTCAATGTGTGATGTACATTTACGTTTTGTGTCACATTTAAACATACAGCACCAATGAACAAATGTTGCTTTTCACACGTTATCGGAATACTTTTATATCCCAATCTTGAATGCTCTTTTTCATTAACATTACTTTATTCAAAACATGTTTTGACAGCAGTGTTCTTTAATTGGGGTTACTTATTATTGTTTGATTTGTGTAATTCCACAACACATCACATGTTTGTTTGTGGTGCAAATCGAGGGTTTTCTATTGTTCCTCGTCATCAATCTGTGACGATCTTCAATTTACACCACAAAAAAAACCACAGACACACAACTGACCCAAACGATGAAAATGTGCTTACTCTTGTAGATTTTGTTTGGATGTACGGCTGTCGGCTACAATTAACTCGCAAGTCGTTGTTCTTCTCTTGCATATATAAGGTCAAAAAGAACTCGGTCCCATGGTCTACACGAACTTGATCCCACATTCCATACTCCAGTACAGCAGGCCTAGTAAAAAATTGAAACATGTTGTTTACACTGTATGTCAAAAAGTGTGCATTGGAACTATACTTTAGACCAAATATTCTCCTTGATGAGTATAACCAAATCACGCATGTAGCCAGAGTTCATCAATCACAATTGAGCTGAATTGTTGCAGGAGCTACCGGTACCGGGAAGTATTGTTGCCATACGGAATATATTTTAGGAAGATGATAATTTGGGGTGGCAATTATTAGAATTGATGCTAATCGGACTCTGTGGTCTGTGGCTATCAATGTGGCCTATGTAACTGGTGCAGAATATGAGTCTAAAGCAATCTACATTTTGAACACGGGGGGAGGGGGGGGTTGAGGGGGGCGCTCATCAGGATACCGGTAGATGTACTGGAATATAAAAAATATTTTCAAACGTACATACATGTACTCGCACTCGCATCAAAACAGCGCATTTTTAAAGTTTTGTTTCCCCACTTGTGTTGTTGGGATGTTCGAAAAATACATCAAACTCTGCATTTTTGTACGACAAAAGTGGGGGATGATGATGATCCCCACCCCCCCCCCCCCCAGGATTTATCCCACTGGTACTAAATTATTAATATCCTCCGCTGCGCACAAATTGTCTGCAGAAGTGTGGAAAGACACACGCAGGAATGTATATGGGTAATAACATGAATATTCAAAGTATAACACAAGAGATGATTTTTCAGGAGTAAACATGATTAAAAAGGACACAGTTAACACAGGTCTCATTTAAGGGGAATACACAATAAATTGATGTATTTTCCCAAAAATACTTGTAGTGTATAGGCTTACTTATAAAATGTAATTTGTAGTTTTGGTGTTTTTAACCTTTGTGATTTTTACCTCATCTATTTTTCAGTGGATATCTTTTATGTCAACTCTCTTGTAATTCAGCCTGTGGGCTGCTATAAGCAGTGTTTCAATAAACCACAATAATAATAATACAACAATTATTGCTTTTGAAATATCAGTATCATGTAACTCACCTGTACACATTATCATATATCAGAAGGTTGTTTTTTACCGGCATGCTTCTCCAGCCCACAACCTTGCTGCTGTATCCATCAATCGCTAGCACATGTTACTCCAAACATGCACAGCTTTTCATACTGGTCTACGTGCATCTTGTGTCCAAAACACTGGGCAAAATATGGGATGGGGTTGACATTTTTGGCACCCTTTGAAAAAAAATTAATACAACAATTTGAAAATGATTTACTTTTATTGAAGTAGAAAGAACTTCAACTGTAGGTACATGTATTATTAAAATACTACATTCACTGAATCTGACATACATGTACATGTATTATGAATTTCCTGGAAAAAAAATCTTCAGGGTAAAAACATATCCCTTTCCTTTGAGAAGATGCTGACTCCTTTTAGCTTCTGTACACGTTCATTGTAGGCTATACGTTGTATACCCATCCTTGTTAAGAACTGTAGTTGTTTGAGGCTACAAACTGAACTGATAGGCTAATACCTCTACAGTCTGCTGAGTAGAGTCTCTTAGATTTTGTAGCTGTGTAAGTTGTGCCATTTTGGTTTTGTAAATCACCGCTTATCTGCTAATGTACAATACTCACTTATAATCGTTATAGTTAAAGGGAATGCAACATATGCTTTTGCTGCAATTTTCAGAAATAAATGGATGTACAGGATTAGTGTGCTATAGAAAAAAATGTTTAGCTAGCTTGTTTCACGTTTTGAGCTTGGAGATGAAGGAACATCTCAGAAAACCAACCATGTTCTTGTAGTCTGGTTCCCTGACCTCACTTAAGATGAGACGTTGCAATTTATAGACTTTGGGGAACTGTAAGATCAGAGAATCAGTCTAGCAAGCTTGTACCCCTTCGCAGATGTGTAATCAATTGCAAAGAAAATGCAAAACGACTAGATCAGATGAAAAATTATGAGCATTTCTTGAAAAAAAAAAGTCAGTTTTCTCCAATGATGGTCGGCCGACCTGCGTTGGAAAAATACAAGTTTTGTTGAAAATGTCAGCACATAGGGAGCCATGATTTTACAGTTTGCTTTAGATTGTCATTCACTAACAGTCCGGTCAAATATTTTGTTATAATTTGATCATTTCGTTTTTGACGTTTGCAAATGTTGTATCGATCGTTCTAATGCTTTGAGAGTTCATAGTTATGCATGGCCGCACCATAAAGTGTCTTGATGACCAGTTCAGCAAACTTGAGTATCACATTTGCAGTGTATAACTTTTGGAGCCTTTTCATATACTTTAAAAACAAAATTAGATCCTGTTTACTATAAACTTCACAAGCACAATACAGGGAAAACACATACATGACTCTGAAAAATGTGTTACTATTGATTTACATTAAAAAAATCTATCAGTCTCATAGGGCTTGTGCACAGGGAGTCAAGTGATGGCCAGATATGGGAATCTTTTCCGAAATGAGTTCTGCTTGTGATTGCATGCTATTTAAAAAAAAGTGTGCACGCGGGTTTAAACTTGTGCGCGCAGGTTTAAATTTGCGTGGGGGACTCAAATTTCGCTCGACACCACTATCGTCCGCACACCTCTTTTCGAGGCATCCAGTTTTTAAGGGCTGCCCTTCCAGTAACAACTACATGTAGGTCGTGATCACAATAACAATGAATAACAGATTCGGTGTTCAACAGTGTTTTTTTTTTATCATTTTAAACCCGGCCTTGCCGGGCATAACTTCTTCATGGAAAATTCTTTCGCATTGCCACATTATTTCCCAGACCTGTCTCAGTCATTGGGTTTGTGCACAGGTCGATAAGTGATGGACAGATATGGGAATCTGCGTGGGAAAATGTTGCAACCTGACGCCACGTTTTTAAGGTCATTTAGGCCTATTGCAACAAAATGAATGATTATCATGATTATTACTAATAATACATGAATCTGGGACTGAGTGAGAAACATTTTCAATTTTGAAATAGGGAGCCTTAAAAAAGATTTCTCGACCCTCCTCAGACTTAGTATCGTCAGACCCCCTAAAGACACGCAGTCCTATTTCTACGCACTCGCATTCAATTTGTGTGTGACAACGGGTGCGCATACATGCCCATGCCATAGCACCATGGAGGAATAACAACACCTGCTCAGTCAGATTTGAGGGTCCAGGATACACAATTGCGGAAGTGGCGTCAGGTCAGGTTGCAACACTTTTTTCCCATCTTTCCCTGTCTATGATCATGATCAGATGATGGCCCATGCATGAAGCTGACCATTTTAACAAACAAATTAATGCATGGATGGCCTACCTGTTCTATGGCACGAGCGACCGCTGCTTGTAGATCATCATCAGCGACTGGCCGTGGCCGCCCCATACCGTCATGGTGCCGACAATATCTATCTTTAAAAGCTTCCATAGCTCATAATCGTCGTCAACACTTACACATGACACAGGATTGGACTTAACAACATGACCCCGGGCGCGCCGTGACACCAGCCCCCCCCCCCCCCCGCGTTGCGGTGCAATGCATTCTGGGGAGGTTTGTGAATACTGTCTCTGGTTACTCTAATGGGTAAAGACATTTAAAATTGCTCTTGCAAACTGCGGGTTGTTCACAAAAACAACCTGAATTATTATTATCATATGGCCTGACATTCAGAACCTTTCAGACAATGGCAAACAATGGCGAACGGAGTCAAAGTTAATTTCCGGTATTATAATCGGACGAACTTGGCCGCAACACGCACTTGGGTTTCGTTGGGCTTAAACTAGTATCTAGTAACCGGTTTCGTTTTTCCTTTCCGGTTACCCTATTTCGTTTTTGTTTTGGCAAAGCAAAAGTTGTCTTTTAGTTTTTAGATGTTTGTGTTTCAGTGAAAAAAAATGAAACAAATATGAGTGTGCTGCGTTTATTTACATAATGTTAACTGTATACAAAGAAAAACGATTGATGATTTTGTTTTATATGCATCAAAGACGGAATGCTGTAACTCGATGCGTTGTCCATTTTTCTGAACACTGACTCCAAAACGGTGTACGGTAGAGGGTTTGCTTTTCCTTTTTTTCTTTTTAAAATAAAAAAAGGTAACTGGTCAAGGGTTTGCTTCTTCTTTTTTCTTTTAAAAGAATGAAAAACGGTAACTGGTAAAGGGTTTACTTGTTTCTGTTTTCTTTTCAAAAATTCAAAAGCAAAAACGGGCAAAGGGTTTGCTTTTCCTTTTTTTGGTTCACAAATTTCAAAACAAATACGGGTAAAGGGTTTGCCTTCTCCTTTTTCTTTTGAAAAATTCAAAAACGTTGACTGGTAAAGGGTTTCCTTTTCTTTTTTTCTTTCCACGAATTCAAAAGCAAAAAAGGGTATAAGGGTTGCTTTTCCTCTTTTTGGTTCAAAAATCCAAAGCCAACAATTGGAAAAGGGTTTGCTTTTTCATTTTCTGTCCAAAAATTCCAAACCAAAAATTGGAAAAGGGTTTGCTTTTTCATTTTTCCGTTCAAAAATTCCAAACCAAAAAATGGAAAAGGGTTTGCTTTTTCATTTTTCTGTTCAAAAAATCCAAACCAAAAATTGGAAAAGGGTTTGCTTTTTCATTTTTCCGTTCAAAAATTCCAAAACAAAAATTAGAAAGGGGTTTGCTTTTCATTTTTCCGTTCAAAAAATCCAAACCAAAAAATGAAAAAGGGTTTGCTTTTTCATTTTTCCGTTCAAAAATTCCAAACCAAAAATTAGAAAAGGGTTTGCTTTTTCATTTTTTTTGTTCAAAAATTCCAAACCAAAAATTGGAAAAGGGTTTGCTTTTTCATTTTTCCGTTAAAAAATTCCAAACCAAAAATTGGAAATGGGTTTGCTTTTTTCATTTTTCTGTTCAAAAATTCCAAACCACAAATTGGAAAAGGGTTTGCTTTTTCATTTTTCTGTTCAAAAATTCAAAACAAAAAATTGGAAAAGGGTTTGCAAAAATGGTAAAAGGTAAAACACTTTTGTTTTTCTGTTTTCGTTTTTTAGACGCATAAACGGAAACTGGTTAACGATGTCCTTTTTCTGTTTCTTTACCAAGATTGTAATAGGGTAAACGGTACAGGGTTCGTTTTTTATTTTTCTTCTGACAATTTTCAAACGGTAACTGATTGGACGGTATGTACACGGACCAAGGAGGCCGAGATCAAGAATGGCTACAGGGGAAAACAGTCTCCAGACCTTCCAGGTGGATGAATTACAATTTGTAAGTTCATTTCTGCAAATTTGACGTTTTTTACACACATGTGCAAAATATCCTGGTTACTGTTTAAATGTTTTTCTTTGTTCTTCCATGGATGCGCTGTATAGGAATATATACATAAGGAATGAGTTACAAACTAACACGAAAATGACGTATACGCATGTGGTTTTTTTTGCATGTTACAAAGAATTATCAACTTGCCAATTCATAACATTTCAATGTTTATAACTTTGTGGTGATTATGGGAATTGTTTACCCTTCTTTACACATTTGTGACTTGTGAAAGGTACACAATTTCCAATTAGATGCTAATAGAATTCATGACTTGTTTTTATATGACATGAGCTGCCAAGTTTTGTTTGCGCTGAGAACCTTTACATACTGTGAGCATCAGTTTGTGCTTGCCAAACCCAAGTGAAATTCAATCCACAATCAACATTTTAATGACTAGATCAGCAACTTGGCATTATGATTTAAGTATAAGTGAACATGTAGGAGTTGCCTTTGTAAATATTGTACTATGAACTTAGCCCGTAGGGATCTGTATTGTGATCTTGTTCCGTTGAGTGATTTGCAGAAGGAATCCCTCAAACACTCCTCAAACTGTTTTTCTTTAATTGATATATTTCTTTGTTATTTATTTGATTTGTTTGCACTGTAGAAACCTGGAAGTGATGCAGCAGCTCAATCTGAGGATATTCATGAAGATGAAGATCAGATGACCAGTGAAGACTTTTTGTAACAAATTTAGTTTAGAAAATATATGTTTGCTTTGCCAGTTTTAAACACTATGTTTAAGATAAAGACCAGTTCGAGTTTGGATAATACTGGCAAAGCACATACTTATCGCCATTCATAAATACCCTTTCGGTCCAAAAAGTTAAAACTAATTCGGTCCAAAAGTCAAAATAAGTCATATATAAAAATGTCATTTTTTTCCCCAGCTATTTTACTCTATGTTTGTCGGACACCAGCCACAGTTCTTAATCAGTTGTTTA